ATGATGCTCTATTCTGGTGGTATTAGTGCTTAATGACATACATAGTTTCGTATTGCCGAAGAGTAGTAAATCTTACGGTAACTTTTCTATTATGTACGATTTTCTTTTCATCATCTTCATCATCACATCAGTCCTTATCTCGTCACTGATGAACAAAGACTTTCATCTATTAGAGGGTTTTGCCAGTGGCTGCCCCATTTGACAGGCGGGTTGGCAACCGCAGTTTGGCTTTGGTGATGTTTACAGAGGACCGCTGCTGTCCGTCCCTCGACCATTAAGTTGCCTTAGTTGCCTTTTACGACACTCATGCGAAAAAAAGGTTTGGCCCATTCTGTGCTGAGATCACATGCCGCTATTTATTCATTAAAGGGGCATATTACACTGTGAATATAAATTAACAAATGACAATTTGTGCAAAAAAACTCTCAATTAAGAAAAATAATTAAATTGTACATATTTTATTAATATTTTATGCATTTTTTTTAAAAAATTATTTGGTGTTTGTAATAGACCCATATTTGAAAATCACTTTTTCACATCTGTACTACAAAATAATATCGAAATCATCATCATCTTCCTACCCTTATCCCAACCATTTGGGGTCGGCGTAATATGATTTTATCCATATTACAAAAAGATTTGGTTTTTAGTTTTACAATCGGCCACCTGCCTGACGTCAACCCTCTTTGGGAATACAAAATAATATCGAAAGTTTTTTTTTATACCACTGGGTTGGCAAACAAGCATATGACCCACCTGATGGTAAGCGGTTACCTTATCCTATGGACGCCTGTTACACCAGGGGTACTAAACGCGCGTTGCTGACCCAGAACAAACATCTTTACACCATTTTTGAAGAACTCCATGCTATTGTCTCTTGCGAAAACCAACAAAATTTATACTTAATCTTGTGTTTACAAACTTCATCATCATTATACGTGGAGAGATTTCAAACTCATTTTACGTTGTAAGAAATGATTTCGAACTAGCCACTAGGCTAATCTATGTACTCATATGGTGTATTAAGGCCCTTACTGGTACGTCACTGGCTTACATTGCAAATGCGTGCGACTCTACTTTTTGTCGTCAGCTGAGATGTCGCGTAATTGGTCCCACGGATTTGGGGCATCACGTTTGTGGGCTGCTTACCGGACTTACTATTGTCCAGGTCTACACAACTGTAGGTCGCATTTTTGTTTATTTATTTAATATATTGTATATGCAAACGTTTGTAACGATAGATGGTTGGATGTTTGTCAGTCTTTCATGTAAAAAGTACTGAGCGGATTTAGATGAAATTTGTTACATACGTAGGATATATCCTAACTTGGCACATAGGTTACTCTATGTACTAATTCATACGCGATAAAGTTAATTAATAATAAATATCATTTTATATTTACACCTTCTTTTTATTTTTGTAAGTAATGTGGAGACGCAAACGAGATCTTTATCGTTAATACGAGAAAATATTTGGTAATTTTTATTTTCTTGACAGTAGAAAGCTCATAAGGCTTTTAGGGAAAGAAAAAATAATTCGAAAGTACAAGACAATTGATATATCAATAACATTTTTAACTCCATTAGTCAAATATTGCGTAAAACAACGTCTATTCGAATTGAATTCAATTTGATCTTTATTAGATAACATGGAAGTCGTCTTGCTCTTTACACAGTGTTACGAGTTTATTGAACCATTTCGTAATTAGCAGAATTATCCCCTGATCGAGTCGTTTGCGGGCCTTAGCTTGACTATAACTGGATTAGACCATTACCGCAAATTGTCGCCATCAGGCAGACATCGCCGTTTAATTATATTAGTCCTTTCTCGAAGAAGCCGCAAGCGCGGCGCATCAAAGTAGGTACTCTGTAGGTATTCTCTTAACGGCTTCTTTAGAAATAAAATGTTAACTACTTGCTAGTTTAGGATTACTTCTATGTAGCTTATTACGAATATTTTAACCTCTTTGTTCATAAAAAAGTAAAATCTCTCGTAAATCTGTTTTAGTTATTGAAGTGTTTTGTCTTTTTCTTTTGCCCTAAATTATTAATTTAAAAAAATGTGACAAAAAACTTCAATAGTTGAAATAGGTTTGCACTCGTAGGTTATTTTAGCTTTCATGAATAAGGGGGTAAATTTATAACAGCTTTGAGTACAAAATTTGAGTTATAGTTGCTTCATGCAAGATATAATTAGTTTTTTTTTCAGCATAGTTTTGCAATCAAATGGGAACCAATTTGAAGTCACGTCGAATTGAATCGAAATAAATCAATGAATTGACTTCAAACGAAACCGACGTTGACGTCGTGTAAAGTTTAAATAGACCAATTTTTTTATTTAGGAGTTTCCTCATGTGGGCGCAACTAATTCATGTATATATTCTTCAAGCAGCTTTATTCCAGCCGTTTTAGAACCCCTAGACATCGTGAGACGGGGAAAGGGATTGTTAGTAATGCAAACATTATACTATATCAGGTCTACGTTCACGCGGTTCCCCTTGGAAACCATCGTGGTTTATTCTTGTGGAATTAATCATGTGAATTCTTGAGGTCTAACGCTAACTTACCTGCTTTCGATCTCTCCTATCTTCTCTCACTGGCTCTAATGTCCTCGGAGAAGAGAATTGCACTATTGAATTGTACATTTTTTTTAATGGATGATAATGGTATGGTAACCCCGCCTGTGCTATCGGTATACACTATCGGGGCACCAGTGAGAGATAATTGGTGAAGATGAAAAGGCAGGTCAGTTAGCCCATCGTGACGAATTTAATGATAAATTTGTCACGATGGATTCCAGAGGGAACCGCGTGGAGGTCGACCTGGTAGGATGTATTGATAGCAACGGGGACTAATCTCCCCATTACTAACAATCCCTTCCCCCCAAGAATTGTACATTCAACTAAACTTGTAAACAAACTTAAGGTGGTCGTGCTGAATTTGTAAATGTTTGTTACACAACATTTACAATTGAAATTAGAATGACGTTCTGTGTGTGGTACGGTCTCCTATTTATATAATTTAGGTCATGTTTACTTACATTTTAAATTCGGGGATGCCTGACCGATTTTAAGTCAATCGGAATCCTTATAGGCGTGGATTACAGCTTTGTCGCGAACAGCACAACGCGACCAGCGTGCTGGTTCTGTAAATGACATTGAGTGTGACCTCTGACTATCCCTTTTCTATTGGTATCTGTTATTTATTAATTTATATTAAATAATAGTGAATGTAATGAACACACACTGTTTTATTTAATTATATATTATATTTTTTGCTAAAGAATTTAGCTGTAAAACTACCTGTTTTGACTACAACTAAATATCAGTGTTTTGCTCTTTCCAGGGAAAACAATAAACGAAAAAAATTATGTTACTTTTTTATGTATGTCTATTTACGTCTGTTATGTGTGCTGTAAGTAATGCAAATAAATTATTTATATATTTTACTGTGATTCGCAGATAAAGCACCATACCTGCAATATTTGGAACACTTGAAGGTCATTACACCATGCTCGATACCGTCGATCCGCATACCCAAACAGTCTATTGTTTTCTAAATGAGGTTTCAACATGGAAAATGCATGTATAACGGAAAATTAAGTTATTGTCTATGAACGTTGAAAGTGGTCAAATTGATACTGGCGGCACAGATAACGTATTTGATGAATAACAAAGCTATATTATTGTCAATTACTGAGAAGTAAGTGTTTATTATTGGTGTACCTGTAAAGTCGGGTACAATGGTTAATTTTAATATAACGGAAACTGGAGTGTTATAAACAGTTCTATTTCGGGTTTACTCAGTACAATGGACCTCACAGAATAGCAAGTGGTGCATCATGAGTTGCCATTTTTTTAAGATACAATGATAAACAAGTTGACGAATCACCTTCACGGATGGAAAATAGTTACTGTCACCTATAGACATGAGCAGCACCATGGACAATAATGCATGAGGTGTACCATGGTTGAAATACACTATTGAATGAATGAATGAATTTATTGCTAAAAATGTGGTATAATAAGGTGATATGGTAATATTACATTACTTGGTTTCACACATTTTGTTATTACATATATATTACTTATACATGTATATTAAATTACGCAGAAGGGTATATTTTATTACCTATCTCTCTAATTTGCTTTGATGTTTACTATGTGTGATTTACCTTGATCTATTCAGTATAATTATGTACTATTATTTATTTATATTATACATGTATGTTTATGTAATTTAGTTTTATTTTTATATAAATGATATTTAAAATAATATACATTTTATTTGGTTACTTCTTTTGTATTTACTGTGTTTGACTTGCGCCATCTACCTATCTCTCTGTATTCATTCTCGGGATTCTTAGTAATGAGGATTAATACTCCATTGCTAGCAAGCCCTCTCAGGTGAACCTCCAGGTTCCTCTTGGAAACCACCATGATTAATACTTGTTGCATTCATCACGATGGGTTTTGCCTGCTTTCATGCTCACCTATCATCCCTCACTGGTGCTTCGCCAGCGCATACCGTTAGCGCAGGCGAGGTTACCATTTCATTATCATCATCATCTTCCTACCCTTATTCCAATCATTTGGGGTCGGCGTAATAAGATCCATAATATAAAAAGATTTAGTTTTTAATTTCATTATCATCCATTAAAAAAAAGTACAGCTGCTTAGTGACAAGAATATAAGTGGGACAAAGGTGCCCAAGCAAACAATTTTTATACAAAATTTCCCTTCGGATATTTTTCTGAAGATTTAGAATTTAGCACTTACGTATTCAACCTTATTCCCTCTGAATGATACATTGTGGATCTTCATAATTAACAGTGATAGTTAACAGTTAACCCAAACATTTTAACTGGTCCGTTTCATTCTGAGTTAGGTTAAATTTACTTATAATTTCTTTGCGTTGATCGATATGATTTCAACGTTTTTTTCAAAATTAGCTTTACCTAATGTTGTCAGTTTTCTAATTTTATTTTTCTTTTTTTCCAGTTGTGGCTCTTATGATATAATTTGAAAGAAGAAATATTCAGAACGGTGAGTAAAAGTTATTTAAGTTATTTCATTTAATATCGAGTGCCACCAGTAAATGCCAATGGCGGGCGTTTAGAATTTACCACCTCGTAAATTTCTTTTTTTTTTTAATAAATAATTTTGTAATGGTAACCCCGCCGTCGATATCGGTATACGTTGGCATGTTACTTGTGAATAACGTTAGGTGATGACGGAGTAGGTTTGTAACTTTATCGTGGTGATTTCATGCAGAATTAACCACGATGGTTTCCAGAGAGGACCGCGTAGAAGTTGACCTACCAGCGTATATTGCTGACAATGGGGCCTCTAGTTCCCATTCATAAAAAAAAAATATTTTCCCCATTCAAAATAATTGAGAACCTCCTTTTTCGCTTAAAAAACAACTGCAGATACTAATGACCTGGCCATCACTATTGTGTACCGTTGGGAATTCTGTCCGTATGTCTGCGTTGTCTCGCATAATGTCACTTCGACCACGTATTATAGTATCGAGACATTCCCTCACAATCGGCGAGATGTCACGTACATAACGCATAACATCCTAGATTACTGTTTAGGTAGCCCCGGTTAAGGCATGAGCGGTAAGCGATTATTTTAAGCGACTTCTAAAAGGGCATACTCAATTCGCTCTGTATCTTACCTTTACCAGCGGGAGACTTTGTACAAAAATCGATTGCTTGGATACGTCTGTCCCATTCGTGTTTCAGTGTGTGTTTGCATGGCTGTGTTTCGGTTTGAAGGGTGGGATATGGCGTGAATTTACAGGGTACAGAGGAGTAACACCTGAGTCCTCAGGAATGGCAACGCATGGGGGGTATCATGGGCGAAAGAGTATACTCTGTTATGTCCATGGTACTGCTCATGTCTATAGGCGACGGTTACCACTTTCTATCAGGTGGGCCGTCAGCTTGTTTGCCATTCTGAGTTGTATAAAAAAAATCTTGTCAGCGTGTAATTACATGATATTTTATTTATTATATTTTTAAATGTGCATAGCTGAATATAGGCCTTCCTCTTTCAGGAGTTTTGCCAGTATTTGCCACGCTTGGCAGGCGATTGGACTAGTAGGTTTTGGTGATGGTTTATGGAATAATATGAAATGTCTGCATTCATTATATCTTAGTAGTTTTAAACACATGTCAGTTGTGAGCCTGTTGGTCTTTACTATAGGTTTTGAACTTTTTTAGATACCAGCTTTTCACAGTAGAATACCGTATTAATTCAATCTTATTTTATCCTAAACACCACATGTGTAAATCTAAGTTGTTTCTGAAGAAACATAAATGAATACTCGTATATTATTATTAATATATAGTTTTAAAAATGTTTTTTTTTTTTAGTTAACGAACTAGTACGTTAGCGTTTTACCTAGTTAATTATCCGGCATGGAGCTAAAAAAAAACAACAGATTTTTAACTACTATAGTTTTCATAATTTGAAATTATGCCCGTAGCCACCTTTTATCATCGCATTGTTCGTCATCGACAGGGAATTCATCCTCATACGCATAATCCAAAATGGTATTTACAGTTTACGTCCGCTCCCGCTATTAGGTTATAACTTAAGTACCCGGTGGCATACTGTAGCGGGCAAACGCGTGCGCCGACCCAAATACTCACTCCTAACGGTGCGTGCCCAGTGTGTATATACCTTTATAGCGCAGATTTGTTCAATATTTTTAGTTAGTGCTTATTTTTAAGCTACTTTAAAAATAATTGTTATTTTTGTGTGTGCATTTTTTCTGGACGTATTTTCTTTAATTCTTTTTGTTTTTGATAGTGTTTATACCCCTATATAAATTGAGCCACGATTGAAGTCTCTTTGTGGTACTAGATTTTATATTTTTAGTAAATGTTACTGTGTATAACATAGTACAATTAAAATGTGTGTGTATATATATATATATATATATATATATTCCCATATCAATCGAATGCCCATATTTATTTCGGTCGAATTTTTTTATAGCGCCTCAACCATTAAAAATGTTTTTTTACCCCGGTCAGTAAACATAACCCGATCACGCGGACAAAGTTGATCATATTTATGGTAACTTATTTTCAAATACTATTAACAAAATATTATTTATGTGCTTATAAAGTGGAATTATTTTTTAATCCAACAAGTCCTTAATTGACTTATAACACTTGTCCAAAAGCCATTTGTACAGTGTGTTTTTAAATGGTCTCAGTGTTTTTGTATTTATAATATTTTCGGGTATTCTTTATTCTTTATTGTACACAAAACATACTGTTAATCACAATTCATTATAAACATAATGTACAAAGGCGAGCTTATCTCTAATAAGAGATTTCTTCCAGCAAAACCTTTTCATGTTAGTTGTGTTATTTTAAAAATAAAAATGTTATATATATATATATATATATATATATATATATATATATATATATATATATTTTTAAAAATTCTTATACATATATTATAACAATTATATAGTTATTATATAGATAATAACCATGCCTACTTTTTGCCCTTTAGATGGAAACAAAAACTTTTCACTGCACAGATATATCGTCATAGTCGTAGAATAGTGACGGATCTGACAAAGATTACGTATATGGTAAAGGATCCGTCAGTATTCTACGACTATGACGATATAAGATTAGCTACACCGTTGATTTGACTTTGTCTGCGTGACTTAAACAATATCAAATTTCATGGAAGATCATGGGGCCCCTGTTAATTGCTGTCAATGATCATGTGTTGATAGTTGCATGCATATTAATGATAGCGGGATTAAATTAAATCATTCTAATTAATTAACAAGCTAAGGAAATTTAATGGTTGAGGGATGAGCAGCAGCCATCTTTAAACGTCACCAAAACAAAAGTGCTGTTGCCAAGCGTGATAACTACTTGCGAAACCTCCAATGAGAAGTATCAGGGGCTGTCTATGGGGCTGTCTGACCTAAACACGAAACCTCCCCCTGGGAGGTTTTGCCAGTAGTTGCCACGCTTGGTAGGCGGTTTGCCAACCGCAGTTAGACTTTGGAGATGTTTTAAGAAGAACGCTGCTGCCCATCCTTCGCCCTCCTTAGTCGCCTCCTACGACACTTACGGGAAAGGAAAAGGACCTGACATATTACAGGTTAAATTGAGCTGCACTGTAAATTGATACTAAAAACATAGTTAAAACAGTTCAGATTGTATTCACATGTGCTAAACATAATAAGTTTGTATTAAGTCCCCAGAAGTGTTGTGAGTTACATAATGAGAGATAATGTACTGTCTAAAATAAAATATGGCGGCGATAAACTATTAAAAACTTGCGAAACTTAACAGTCGATATTTGTACGTGTGTATGTTGTGTTATTTGTTATTTGTGTGTGCATATCTTGTTGCGTACTACTTTATTTATTTATTTATTCTTTATTGACCACATTACAAAAAAAATGTCCGGTACAAAAGTACTTTCGTATACAAATTTGTTAATAATATGAGATTTTGTTCTACAAAAAAAAAGAGACTTCGTTTGTGAAAAAACTAAGTATTTTGATATTTGAAAACTAAACTGCTGAATCTATTACGACAAAATAATATTTTCTTTATTTATACTTTATTGTACACAAAAATTCCATTGTTATAATATATTTTGAATAGAGACGTACAACAGGCGAGCTTTACTCTAAAATAATTCACTTACAGCAGTGTGCGTACAATAAGAAGAGGTAACAGTGTGGTTCTTTTTACAAAGAAATAATAAATATGCTTATGTAAATACAAACTTACTAATATACTTACAAATCATTTTGGGAAAAAATAATTTATCAAATCGGTTTTTAAACGACGGAGTTCTGAGGCAACGAAAAAAATACAACCGGATTGAGAACGCCCTCCTTTTTTGATGTCGGTTAAAAACAAATCAACGTGCCCATCGAATGAAATGTAATGCTAAACAATTAGCTAGATTCATTTAACGTAAAAAAAATCGGTCAACAATGAACAATTACCGCGTAATGACCGCAAACTTAATTAACGCTTCCCATAGTAAAATCATAGCAGAGAAGTATGACAGTGAACCCCGCAACGGTAAATTAATAACCGTGGTGATTCGTTAATGCGAACGACACAACTGTGTTGTGGTGACTATTGGGACAGCCCTATGATTAAATGTTTCTGTGTGGGCTCATGGCTTCTTTTATCTACTTAAATTTTTATTAATAACTAGCTGTATTCCGCAGCGTCGCCCGCGCGAATCAGTCTTTAAGTGCTAAGTTCACCGTGTGGTCCCGGTATAGAATAGGCTACTCCTATTATATATTTTAGAAAATTCTAATAACCCGTGCGAAGCCGGGCCGGTTCACAAGTTATTGTTTTTTTTATTCGACTTAGAATGGCAAACAAGCTGACGGCCCACCTGATGGAAAGTGGTAACCGTCACCTATAGACATGAGCAGTATCATGGACATAACAGAGTATACTGTTTCGCCCATGATACACCCCATGCGTTGCCATTCCTGAGGACTCAGGTGTTATTCGTCTGCACCCAGTAAATTCACGCCATATCCCACCCTTCAAACCATGCAAATACAACTGCTTCACGGTAGAAACACGAATGGGACAGAGACGACTTGTACATAGTCTCCCTTTGATAAATATATTATTTAATATTTCACTTCTATTCCATATATTGTGTCGTTTATCGTCTCATACCCATAAGGTTGCCTTAAAACGGTTATTTTAGCAATATGGACGATTCTTTATTTATTTATTTTTATTTTATTTATTATTTTATTTCGATTCTCTGTTCAGTTTTGATGAGAATTTTGCTAGTATATTGTGTTGTGGAGTACTATGAAATATTCTTTGGTTCCTATTTGAATAATAAACGGATATGGTAAAAAAATTACCAGGTGGCTTTTTTTATGGATGATAATGCAATGGTAGAGCCCTATATATACTCTGGCGAGGCACCTGTGAGGGAAGATAGGTGAGAATGAAAAGGCAGGTCAGTTAATCTACTGTGATGAATACACCTGGATT